AGTTAGTTTCTGTATATGGTGTGTGGTACGGATCTCGTTTCATTTTTCTGCAAATGGATCTCCAGTTTTTCTAGCACCATTTGTGAAAGACCCTATCTCTTCTCCCTTTACTGGATTTTGGCCCTTTGTCAAAGGTCAGCTGGCCACAGATGGACTCAATTCTGTTCCACTGGTCTACATGTCTATCATCGTGCCAATACCAGGCAGCTTTGACTACTGGGGCTGTATTGTAGGTTTTGACATTAGGGAATCTGAGGCCTCCTACTTTGTTCTTCTTCAATAGTGCTTTGCTTATCCGAGGTCTTTCTTTTCCATATAAAAGTAGTGACTGGGCTTTCCACATCCTTAAAGAATGATGATGGGATCTAGATTGGGATTGCGTAGAATGTACAGATTGCTTTGGGTAGTACTGACGTTTTCACAATGTTTAAGCTCTCTATCCAAAAGCATGGTATGTTCTTCCATTTATGTAGATCTCTTACAGTTTCTTTAAGTAGTGTTTTATAATTTTCTTGCATTAAGTCTTTTGTGTTCCTGGTAAGGCTTTTTCCCAAGTATTCTATCTTTTTGGTAGCTATTATAAATGGTATTGATTTCCTTATTTCCTTTCCAGAGACCTCTTTGCTAGTGTAGAGGAATCCAACTCACTTTTGCATGTTGATCTTTTATCCTACCACTATGCTCAATCTCTCAATTAGTTCCAGCAGTTTTCTTGCTGAGTCTCTTGGGTTTTCTATATAAAGGAGCATATCATCATTTCTTCCTTACCGATTGGATGCCTTTGATTTTCCTTTCTTGCCTTACTGCCTTGGCTAGGACTTCCAATACAATGCTGAATAGAAGTGGTGACAGAGGGCATCTTTGTCTGGTTCCTGTTCGCAAGGGGGGCGGTTTCAGTCTCTTTCCACTGACAATAATGTTGGCTGTTGGTTTTATGTATTTGCCCTTTATTATGTTGAGAAATTTCCCTTATTTTTCTGAAAGTTTTTATCAGTAATGGGTGTTGGATTTTATCAAATGCCTTTTCTACAACAATTGATACAATCATGTGGTTCTTTTCCTTTATTTTACTTATGTGATTGGTGACTTTGATTGTTTTTCTAATGCTGAACCATCCTTGCATACCTGGTATGAATCCCATTTGGTTATGATGTATTATTTTTTTGCTATGTTGTTGGAGTCTATTGGCTGGGATTTTGTTGAAGACTTTTGCGTCTATATTCATGAGAGCTGTTGGTCTGTAGTTTTCGTTTCTAGTGGTGTCTTTGCCTGGTTTTGGTATCAGGGTTATGCTTGCTTTGTAAAATGAGTTAGGGAGGGTTCCATCCTTTACTATGGTCTGGAATAGTATGAGTAGGATTGGTGTCAGTTCTTCTCTGAATGTTTGGTAGAATTCACCAGTGAAACAGTCTGGGCCAGGGCTTTTTGTTATTGGTAGTTTTTTTTTTTTTTTTTAATAACCTGTTCAATTTCTTCTTTTATTTGGGATTCCTTTAAAACACACTTATAACTCCTTTCACAAAAGCTATTTTTCTCATCTGTACTGCTCTGTGGTGAACAGGCTCAGAAGGTCTGCTTCCTTTCAAAGGTCCATGCACAGTGATAATTTCAACAAGAAAGAGATATTGCCTAGTTAATCCACCAATGTTCCCATGCTATTGTTTCTTTAAACACCATCCCCCAATGTCACACACCATACAAATGGTCAGTGAAGGCCTCTGCTGCCAGCTCTGAGCTGCAACAGCCCCAGGCCCACAGCCCCAGGGAGGAACTGACACCTCTCAGAAGGACCTGAGGCCCACTGACAGTATACAGGTCCTGAGTGACTGTGACAAGACCACAACCTTGAGGGACTGAGAGCACAGGGCCAGCTCCATCACAGCTGGGTCCCTGACCCCAAGAACTAGGGTTGGGGTCACTGAGGCAATGGCAGGAGGAAGAGGCTCACCGACCAAACAAGTTCAAACCAGTCACATTCCCTGAGCCCAGTGCAGCGTGCAGGTGTCCGGAAGGCTGTTGAGGACACACGGCTCACCAGAGACCCCCAGATAGTCTGCCAAAGGGCGAGGAGGCTGAGCACATCATCCCTGATACAGCACGGTGGTCTACATCTGTCACCTCTACACAGAGGCCTGATGGGGCAGGGACACTTCCTAGCAAGTCCCGGCCTGGCGAAGCAGGTGCCCCGTTGGTCCCTTCTCAAGGGGAGGAGACCACACAGAGGGCAGCACTGAGACTCATACCCCAGGTGGCTTTTAAAAATCAAGTGGGTAACAGGTTATATTATTCATCTAGTGTAACCACTATGGTAACCTCCCTCGCTACACAGTGAGGCTGCGTAGAGAAAGGCAGCAGGAAACCAGGCAGACGTAAGTACGTGTAATCACTTGCTCTTGTGTGGGATGGGCTGAGATGAGAGCATGGACAAGCTGGCAGCACACATGCTGAGTGTGAGCTGAGGGGCGTAAGCAGAAGTCTTCTCTGAGAGTGTTAGGGGAAGGTGTCTTACAGTGTAGCTGTGAGTACCGTTAAGCAAGGTGCAATGTCTGCCTTCATAATATTTCTGTCTATAATTACCAGCAGTGTCGTTACTGGGTGTTGTCAACGTGATTGCGACTCATGGCAACCCTGTGGGACAGAGGAGAACTGCCCCAGGGTCTTCTTGGCTGGCAGATCACGAGGGGTTTTCACCTGCAGAGATGCTGCTGAGTCTGAACTGCTGACCGTTTGGTTAGCAGCCGAGCGCTTAACCACTGCACCCCCAGGGCTCCTTAAAGACCATAACATTGTATTAATACAGTGTAAAAACCTGCCTACAGTAAAAGCAATATAACGACAGAAACAAAGAGGACATACATGGTAGCTACCTGCCCCACATACAACTTCTCCATTACAAGAACGGTCACCACCGGGACCAAATGAGCCAGCACTCAAGAGACAGATGGCCCACCACGCACCCAGCCTCTGCCCGTCCCCAGCCACCAACGCACGCACACGCACACACACACACACACACACACGAGTGTTCTCAGCAGCAAGTGAGAAATTGAACAGGAAGCTTCCCCATCGTCTCCCCGTACTGGCCCCGACAAGCTGAAATCAATCATGCAGACAGGACGACTTCAGCAGAAACGCCCATGGACTTTTAAAAACTCTGCATTTCTCCAGCTTTCTGGTTCCTTCCTACGGCCAGGCAACTCTTTGTGCGTGTGTTGTTACTGCTTCAGGCTAACTGATTAAAACCTCATGTGGGTTTTGAAGATGAAACTTTCAAAATAAGGAACCACAGCTTCACCGCCAAACCGTAGGTTCTCTAGATTTACAGCACTTCTCCCAGCGTTCTCTGAAAGTTCAAGAGAAAGCGCTGCGGAAGGGAACTGCCCTTGCATCCCACGCTCGCCCCGTCCCCTCCTGGTGCCCAGGCCCCGGCACAGAGGACATGGCACTGCCCTGTCTGTGATGAAGGGGCCACAGGTTTCCAGGGAAGACCTCACACTTGCTCTCTATGTCTCCTGCTGGTGCCAGGCCCTGGCACAGTGTGACCCAGACAAAGGGGCCACAGGCTTCCAGGGAAGAGCACACACTTGGTTTCCATCAAGAACAAGTGTCACTCTGCGATCTTAAAAGCTTGTAAGTGGCCAGCTAGATGCAATGATGGGTCTCTCCTCGTCCAGAGCAAAGAAGAATCAAGAACACCAAAGATACATGGCAGCAATTAGTCTGAGGGACTGGTACACCATCCGATCCGCAGCCTACACAACTGTGAGACCAGAAGAACTAGATGGTGCCCGGCTACCACTGTCAACCACTCAGAGGGGGATCTACGGAGGAGATCCTGGATAGAGAGGGAGACAGTGTGGAACAAAACTCAAAATCATAAAAAACAAAGGGACCAGGTTTGCTGGTCCGACAGAGCCTGGTGGAACCACTGAGATGGTCCCTAGCTGCCCTTCAGGTCTGGAACTGAACCCACTCCTGTGGCTTCCAGCCAAACAAAAGACAGGCATATGAGGTGAACATTACCTTAGGTAGATACACTCCTTGGAGAGATCAATCATGGGAGAATAGAAGGGCTGTGTATGCCCAGGGAGACAGCTCGGGAACAGGAGTGCACGGAGGGAAGGACACAAGGAAGAGGTAACTATGGGGAGAAAGTGGGAGGAGAGCTGTTGCATTGTGGGAGATTACAGTCAATGTCATGAGACAAAGTGTATATGAGCTGCTGTATGGAAAATCAATTTGCTCTATAAACTTTCACCCAAATCACATTAAAAAAAAAAAAAAAAAAAGAGTAAGTGTCACTGTATCAAGAACAAATGAGATCTACATTTCAGGTTCTCATCATCAGTTTCATCAGCTATGTCTTATAACAAAGGAAGAAGCCACCCTGATTCTCTGTCTAGCTGCTCCGAGGTGGAAGAGTTTATCACCCTCTATTCCAAAGGACATGTGGTGATGACCCTATCCATCCCTGCTCCCTGCCATTCCACCTGACGTGCAGGGAGAGCAGCTCTCACAGGTCAGGACTTGGCTTAGTAAAGACATCCCCATCAGGCGTGTTCAGTCAGGGTTACTCGTTTTGTCACAGATTAGAAAAATGGCAAGGTGCTCCATCCTGACAGCAACAGACATCGCCAAAGCTACCCACTCCTAACAAACAGGCAACTGCATGGACAGTGATCAACAGTGTGCAGACACAATCATCAACAAAGTTCTAACAGACAGCCAACTGCACAGACACGGTAACCAACAACGTTCTAACAGACAACCAACTGTACAGACACAGTAAACGACAATGTGTACACTCACAAGAAATGGTGAGAGACAACTGGTGAAAGTTCACACAGGAGGCAGAAAGTACCAGGGCAACCTAGGAAGAGGTGGGTGCAGCCCCACCAGCCCTTCGGCACTGCTGCCGGGCGTCTGGGAGCTCCACCACCATAGCAATGCTGTGTCTGAGGTCGGAGGGAGGGCACAGGGAGCAGGCAGGGAGCACTTACCTGCCCGTCCTGTCCAACATGGTGTATCTGTAGGTTGCCCTGTGAACAAAAGGCAAAAAGGAGAGCATCAAAACCAGAAGCAAGTCTAGGCTGAGATGAGGCGGCACTGTCCCGGGCCGGTGGACGTGTGGTGATGCCAGCAAGACGCCGACATGCAGTTCACCAAAGCTGACCCCTGCAGCAGTCCACACCCTGAACCAAACCCTGAAGCTGCGTCAGAGACACAGTCAGCCCTCTGTGCCCATGGGCTCTGCATCCATGGGGTCAGCCAGCTGTGGACCTCAAGTACTGGGAAGGGAGAATGGCAGCGAGGTGGTCAAAGCAAGCCCTCCGAGGCTCAGGGGCAGTGTGCGGTGCTGGCTCCCAGCCTTCGCCGGGCGTGAGGCTTTGTGAGTCACCTGGCAAGGATGGAAACTACACGGAGGGTGTGTGAGTTACACACAAACACCTCATCATGTTCACCTAAGGCACCTGACCATCCACGGATGGTGGGAGACACGGGGGTCCTAGAACCAATCCCCCGTGGATACCAAGGGATGATCATGCTATTTGTGTGAAAATAAAACAACTCAAAAAAACCTTGAACCCATCCCCTCTGACCCCAAATGAAAATGTCACTCCTTTAAAACTTTTTCTTTGGCAACAACTCCAGACTTACAGGAGCTGAAGACTAGTGCTGAGAGGCCCTGTGTCTCCACCTCCAGCTTCCTCAGCAGGGACCTCTTACACGGCAGGGGGACACTGTCACCACCAGAGCAGCTGACATGGACTCGGCACAACTAACCTCAGCAGAGACCTTGCTGGACCTTATGGATGAAAGGCACTAAGAGCCAAAGGCGCGAGTGTAGGAGGGTCCAAGGAAGGGCTCCGCACAACTCATTTGAAAAGGACGCACCACTGAAAGGGGCCAGGTGGGGTTTGTAACGAGTGGCTCGTGTGGCCCCGCCCCCAGACTCACCTCGCTGTCCTGTGTGATCTGGACCTGCTCCCCCTGAGGCACCTGGGCGATGTGGAGGTGGCCCTGTGGGATCCACAGCAAGACACAACACCAAGAAGCATCAGAAGAAACTCACAGTCAAAGGAAACGGAAGATGGTCTCAGCACCAATGCTGTCCTCAGGCCCCACGCCAGGAGCCCTGCTCACAGTGCCGTGACACACTTCCAACCCGGCGCGGGCCGCCCAACAGGCTCCTTACACTAACTCTGGGGCATGGCACATGCGGCACAGGTCGCAGTAATTCTCATAAGAGCACTGGGTGCTGCAGTAATTCTCACAAGAGCACTGGGTGCTGCAGTAATTCTCACAAGAGCACTAGGTGCTGCGAGCAATCTGTCAAGGCTTTCAATGTTACTCAACAAGTCACTGGAAGAACATGAATGACATCTAGCCCACAGGGGAGCAGGGACTCCCCAGAAAATCAGAATGAAGTGCAGTAACTCACACACTTCACTTGGGAATTCCAGGGAGAAGTCGGCTAGCTGCCTGGGCGGCTGGGAGGCCAGCAGCAGCGGCACAGCCTCGGGGGTGGGGTGGGGATTACATGCATACAGCCACTTGAAAACAGGACGGGAGATTTTTTAAATCACAGAAAAGCTCACTAACTATTTACATATCTGAGTAAACAGTAATAAATGCACTTGGAACCCAAGCCAAGTGCATTCATGCTTTGTAGACAGGGCAGACCAGTAAGCCCTAAAACCCTTAGCCTTGTGGAATGCACGAACGTCATTATCTTACTTACAACTGGACCACAGAATGAACCTTAAAATAAACTGCAGGAGGACTGTCTACGGTTTTTACTTTGCTAGTCAATGTAAACCCTGCATCCAAGTCGACTCTCCTGGAATTCCTTCAAAGACTGCTTTGGAATTCCCGTCCAGAGCTGCCCATCCCTCCGGAAGCAGCAGCAGGCCGGCTTAGGCGTTCTCACTCGGTATTTCCAAGCCCCCGCGCTCTCCGGCGGCATGCTCAGTGCCGCCTCCATGTGGCAATGAACCACCTGGGACGGAGTCTTGATATATTAAGGCCTTGTTTGCAGGGCGAAGCCCTGGCAGAGCAGCGATACAATGATGGCACCATCTCAAATGCCCCCATGAGGTTGGCCACTATTAAAGCCAGCGGCAAGAGTCTAGGGGTGGGCTCCAAATGTCTAGCTCCCCCAGCAGCCTACAGGAAAGTCTTTTCCTTCCTGCCACAGATACTCAGGAAGGGCTTCAGAAGGGCGGGCCCTTGGAGTTGGTCCCCCAGGGCAAGACACTTGCTGCCCAGCTCAGGCCAGGACAGGCACAGATGGGCAAGACGACTGGCCCGTCGTGACAGGGTCCTGAAGGGCACTCTGCCTCCTCACTGAGGGAAGCAGCCACGTGGGCTGGGTGCCCATAGTGACTGAGGCTGCTCACCCACTGGCCACAGAAGAAAAGGATTTTCCTTCCCCGGGGACAAGGCCCCTGGGCTCCTGGGCTGTGAGAAACCTCTGTGGTGCGTCCCCAAGGGTGGCCCACCACTGTGACCACCGAATGGCCTGACCTCGGAGCTGATGATCCTGCACAGGCGGGCAGCACCCACCTCCCTGGCAGGGAGAGGAGCCAGAGGGGCCATCGACTGGCCTTCCTGTGTCCATTACAGGCCATCGAGTAACTGCCCATCACCTACAAAATGCAGGTGCTTGCACCCAGAGACACCTGCCTACAACACACACCTTTGCCTTGTTCCAGCAACCCATGTGCTCCAGAAACCCAGAGAGTAGGTGTGCCCCTCCCTAGGGCCCTCTCCTCTGTCCACCCTCCACCCTCTGGAGCAGCCCTCTCCATGTCACCTCCAAGACAGGAGTGAGAAGGGGTACATACTACTTGGACTTGTCCATCTTCTCCAATTTGGTGGATCTGGACCTGCTGGGCGTTGGCCAGGGTGTAATGCAGGGCCTGCGGCTGGGGCTGCGGGATCTCGGTGGTGGGCGGTGGGGTGCTCAGAATCGTCTCTGTGTGGACACGTGGGGGTGGGGGCAGGGAAACGTTACAACAGTTCCCAGGAACCAGCAGTCGACACACGGACACACACATCAGTTCCAGGGTCCTTCTTTCCTCTCACCCTCAATCCCCAGAGGAGGAAAGACATCCTCCCACCAAGACTCCAGGCAACGGGTCTCAGCAAAGGAACAGGGGTGGCATCTGGGGCAGGACAGTCATTTGTGGAGATGGCTAAGAGCAAGCCTTGGGCCCCGGAGACCTCTGGTGGGAAGACTGGATATGCCTGCAGAGCTCAGCACGCCTTCGCCCTGCAGCTCAGGACGCACCCAGAACTGTGGGAATGGGAAGGAGGCTGGTGTCCAGCCCACACAGACCAGCAATAAGTAGACTCACCCATGGACAGCAACCATCCACCTCATTTACAGGCATATTTCAATCAAATGTAACTCCCTACTTTGGATCAGAATGAGACGCACTTGTTCCTGATGCTGTCACTTGCTGTGCAGTCCGTGCCGACTCACGGCGACCCCATATGTGCTTCCTCTCAGGAGCAGGTCATCAGGCCTGTCTTCCAAGGGGCCTCTGGGTGGGATTGAACCACTAAGCTATGGGCCGGTGGTCAAGCACTAATGGTCCTCCCAGCCAGGGACCCTTGTCCTGATGCAACCACCAAGGTGTGAGCCAGTAGTCAAGCACTAACAGTCCTGGGGTCCACCCAGCCAGGGACTCTTGTCTTGATGTAACCACCAAGCTGTGAGCCAGTGGTCAAGCACTAGCAGTCCGCCTAGCCAGGGACTCTTGTCCTGATGTAGTGGTATCAATTTTAATTATAAAACTCAATCAGAACAAATTTTTTTTAACACTTAGAACATTAGGGGCTCGGTGAGTTTTAAATGTTTCAGTGTGTATATACACACACACAGACAGTGTGGGTACAGAGAAATGTGCTAGCGGGATCAATAGGACCTTCAGACATAAATGCATTACATCAGGGTGAAATCCTATGACAAGAATGTCAGCTGACAAGAAAGACAAAAGAGAATGAACTGAACTTCCTGACTATTCCAGGGATGTCTATCATATGTCATCTTTAACAGCTAATAAACCAAACCAAACTCACTGCCATCAAGACAACACCAACTAGGTTTCTGAGGCCATAAATCCTTAGGTAAGTAGATTGGCCTATCTCCTTCCATGGAGCAGCTGGTGGGTTTGAACTACCAACCTTCTGATTAGCAGTCAGATGCCTCAGGCACTGCACCACCAGAGCTCCTTTCGGTGGGTATCAAATCGCCATGGATTCCACTGAACACATTTTCCCAGGTGGCCTAATGACACTGGTGCGGTACCACTTCCAGCATGACAGAAATAACAAGCCTTCTCAGTGACTTCCAACTACAGTGAAAACATCACATGTCAACCTTCAAAATGTCAACCTAAAAATGGGCAAAGAAGAACACGCTTTTTGAAAATTCTTTAAGAGGGCCTGTGAGCAGACATTTAAAGTCTACTCCACTGGGCAGTAAGAACCGAGCAGATACCCACATGGTCTCCACTGTACTTGCCTCCCAGTAACTCAGAAATGCAGCCAGGAAGAGTGGCACACCCTGGGGTCACACAACCCCACAGGCGAAACGGTTTGTGGCCTTGATGCAAATGGTTTTGAAAGGTAAGAGCCACTGGTAAAAGTTCCCACTGAATCAACACCTACCTGCAAGTCTATGATGTGATGACCAAGTTAAACCCATGAGTTACCATTTCCACTGACAAGACAACCAATGCAAACAACGGCCTCATTACTTATTCTGATCAAGAGCTGTCCAAGAGCCACAGCAAGGACCAGAGACAGGGATTCTCCCACTGGCATGGGCCGAGGGGCCTGGCTCCCCATCAGCATCCAGAAACAAGGATGCTCCCACTGGTGCAGGTCAAGGGGCCTGGCTCCCCATCAACGTCCAGAATCAAGGATGGTCCCACTGGCATGGGTTGAGGGATCTGGCTCCCCTGCCCCAGTGTCCAGAGGGCTCACATTTCAGGAAGTAGAGCTGTACAACAGTCTATTGGCAATACATTTTCAACAACTAGTTCTTGGCAGCTCTCAAGTATTTGGCTAGTTCCAGTAAGATGGCGGACTAGGCAGAAAGACTGCACAGACCCTCTTCAACAAAGAAAAGGGGAACCAAGTAACACAGATACAGAAGATAATCCTGGACCCCTGAGCCTTGAAGGGAAGGATATAGAAGTGGACTAAACCCCAACTGGCAGAAGAATTTGCATGAAAATACCAAAAAAGGAGACATACGGAGCTGCAGTCTGGCAGCGATCCTGTTGGCACAGACAGCTTGGAGATTGCTGGTGGTGGCAGCACCTAAGAATTAACATAAAAATCAAGACTGTGTGGAGGACTGCTCTGGTGGCTGGGGAATAAAAGAGGAAGCAGCAGAGAGGAAGGCGGGCTGAGATGAGGACTTTTGTCTGTCCAGAGGGTGCAGCCATTTGGAATGTTTACAAGCGGCTTGACCATTTTGGATATTTAAAGTGACAATATTATCCCAGATTCCAGGGACTTAAGAACAGACTCAACTTGCCAGGAAACCCAAGGACATTCTAGACCCAGGAATTCCATCTCAGTCTGCATGCTCAGACAGAGCCTGGGTGACCTTCCTCAATTTTTTTTTTTTTTCTGTTTTCCAGTTTGTTTTTCTCTGGTCTGTTTTAAAACTCTTACTATTATTACTTTTGTCCTTTTTACTATTATTCTTCATTCTTCCCCTCCCAGGTTCTAGTTTTAAGCTTTTTTTCTTTTCCCTGTTCCTGGTGGCATTTTTTTTCTTTCTAATGGTTAACCCCGTTCCTTGTTTTTCTTTTTTCAGTTTTCCCATTTTTTTCATCACTATTCCCCTTCTCTACTGTTTTTCTCTTATTGCCCTCTCCCCAGATATTACAGGTTTATTTATTTATTTTTTCTTTTTCCCTTTTTTCATTTTTTTGGTTACTATTCCTGTGTGATTACACAGTGTGTGTTTTGTCCATTTGCTTTTACTCTTTTGATGGTTATTCAGTTATTATTTTTGTCTAACTGAGTGGAAGACAACAACAGTCCCCATAAGACACAAACTACACCCACATATCCTGCAGCTTTACTTACTGAGTGAGAGCCACCACTTTCTTCTCCACCAAAGGGCCAATGATAAACAACCACCAAAAACAACCTGACTCACCCTTGGCTGCTCTTCACAAACAGTTAACAGAGATCTAAATACAACAAAGCCACAATGTCTTGGAGACAACAGACCATCACAATCCAAACAACGAAGCAAGATAAAGTGGTAGAAACAAGGGAGCAGGATACAGACCCAGAACACATCCCTGAGGAGGAAGCAGCATTGGAACTCTCTGATAAGGAATTCAAAGAATTATATTTAGGTGTCTTCAAAGGATTGAGAGACAGACCAAGGAAAACACAGACAAAACCCTAGAAGAATTTTGGAAGAAAATACAAGAACAAAATGACAAAATAAATGAAAAATTAGAAGTGATTCTAAATCTACAGATAGAAATCCAGAAGATTAATACTAAATTGTCAGAAGTAGATAACACATTAAAAGGGCAAAGGATTAGAAGTGATGCGATGGAAAACAGAATTAACGAGATTGAAGACAAATACCTGAATACTTCTTTGGAAAGGGATCAATCAGAAAAAAGATCAAAACAAAATGAAGAAAGCCCAAGGTTCATGTGGGATATCATCAAAAGGAATAACCTACATGACATTAGAATTCCAGAACAGGAAAAGAAAAATAAATTTGAGAAAATTGTCCAAAATGTGTTGGAGGAGAACTTCCCTGATATGAAGAAAGGTGAGAATATATCCATTCAGGAAGCCCAATGAACCCCAAACAGAACAGACCCCAAAAGAAAATCACCAACGCATAACATCATCAAACTCATCAAAACCAAAGACAAAGAAAGAATCCTGAAACCAGCATGGGAAAAACAAAAAGTTACTTACAAAGGAAAACCAGTAAGAATAAGGTCTGATTTCTCAGCAGGAACCATGCAAGCAAGAAGGCAATGGGATGTTATATGTAACAACCTGAAAGAGAAAATTTTTCAACCAAGAATTATACAGCTGGCAAAACTATCCCTCAAACATGACGGTGAAATTAGGAGATTTCCAGATAAGCAGAAACTAAGGGAATTTGTCAAAACCAGACCAACCTTACAAGAGATACTACAGGAAGTCTTTTGAACAGAGAACCAAGAATAGCAAACAACAACCAACCATTAATACACAAGATGACCTAACCCAGAAACCACAGCATGGACATATCCAAAGTAAAAGAAGCTTACAAGCTTGTAAACAGGGAACCAGAGACTCCAATTGACAAATGAGGATAACTACAAACCAAAAAGAGGGAAAATACTGCGTAGTTACAGAACTTCCAAACAGTGAGGAGTTGCAAGATAGAATGGACTGTTCTAAACAGACAAAATTATAAAGCAGAGGGTAACATCAAAGAAAAATGATAAACCTTCACATCACACACAAAAAAAGGACCAGCACAAATATTCAGCAAATACTAAAAACAATAGCAACAAAAGAAATGATAACACGATCCATAAACATAATGAGCTCAGCACAGAAAATAATATGGAACAAAGAAACCAGGGACACCATGAAAAAACAAATAACAAAATGACAGCAACCAACTCATACTTGTTGATAATTATACTGAATGGGCATGGATTAAATGCACCACTCAAGAGACGGAGAGTTGCAGACTGGATAAGAAAACAAAACCCATCAATATGCTGTCTACAAGAGACACACATTAGAGACAAAGACAAAAATAGACTAAAACTCAAAGGTTGGCAAAAGATATATCAAGAAAATGGCAACTGTAAGAGAGCAGGAGTGGCAATGTTAATTTCTGATCAAATTGACTTTAAGACAAAAACCACCATACAAGACAAGGAAGGACATTATATAATGATTAAAGGATCAATT